TATGTTTGCTAGCAATTTTGATTCTAACATAATTCATCTTATGCAATTTCTTTGCACGAAGTTCAAACTTAAGGATCTTGGTCCACTTAAGTATTTCTTGGGAATTGAAATGGTAAGATTAATGAAAGAAATTGTCATTTGTCAAAGGAAATATGCTTTGAAGTTGTTAGAAGAGTATGGTTTCTTTGAATCTAACCATGTATCCAATTCTATGCATCTTAAATAGAAATTGATGTATGTTTCATAGTATATTCTCATTGATACTATTAAATATAGACAATTGGTGGGCAAATTTTTGTACTTAACCTTTAGCAAACTTGACATTTATTATGCGAGTGCATATTTTTGCTCAATTTATAGACAAACCGAGCTTTAGTTTATTTACAAGTTGCATATAGGATGATTACGTATTTGAAGGAGGTATCAAGATGAGGTTTGTTCTTTTCAGCCAAGTCATCTATTCAATTAAATTCTTTTTCAAATAATGACTAGGATGGCTATCATGAGACCGGAAAATCAGTTTTAGGATTTTGCATATTCTTAGAGAATTCTATGAATAGCTCAAAGTCTAAAGAGCAAAGCTTGGTTGCTCGCGATAGTACGAGAGGTAAAATATCAAGTTGTGACATCTATTACTTATAAAATTATGTGGCTTTTGTTCTTATTGTAGGATTTGGGTTTTAAACGAGACAATGCCGGTTATTTATTTTTATTTTTATTTTTTGTGACAATCGGTCTATTTTGCGTTTTTGCAAGAACTCGGTATATCATGAAAGGACTATACACATTGAAGTATTGTCACTTCATTCGAGAAAAAAATTCTTTTTAGTCTTATTCATCCTTATTATATACCCATCGATCAGCCGATTGTCGATATCTTCACTAAGGTCTTTCGACTTAGGATTTTCAATGAAACGGTGAGCATATGAGCATAAACAACATTCATGCTCGTCTTAAAGGAGAGTATCAAATTTAACAATAAGTCCATGTGTGTAAATTGTTAATAATTGTCATATATGCAACTTATTGTTATTCTCAAGATTAGTTAGTTTGTTAAATAATTATATGATTAGTAATTTGTTACAGATTGCTAGTGTTAGTTAAACTAAATATAGAAGCACCAACATAGCATGTAATTAGTTGTGTTGTAAAAATTGAAAATGTAATCAACTTTACCAAAATTTCTTCTATTTTCTTCCTTCTCCCAATCATGGAAAATCTTTTTTACTTCTCCTTCAATCAATCGGCCATGGAAGTTAGCATGATATCAAAGCCTTGTTGAGCATGTAATTAGTCATGTTGCAAAAATTGAAAACATAATCAACTTTACCAAATTTTCTTCTCTTTTTTCCTTCCTTCACTTAGTCATGGAAAATCTTTCTTACTTCTTCAATCAATTAGCTATGAAAGTTAACATGATATCAAAGCCTCATTAACTAAGTGATCACAAGTTTAAATCTCACTACTTGTCATTTCTTTTTCAATTAATCAAGTATAAGGTAGTGCGGACTTGTGCAAGTTTCAAGCTCAAAGGATTTTTATTTGAGAGGGTGTGTTAGTGAGTTATATAAACTCATTCATGAGACCTCACCTAACAATTTAAGTTTTGGGTTGAGATGTTCATTTGACAAATCAAATTCATGTAATAATTTATCTCAAACAAGTTTTAATAGATTAGAGGATATGATCAATAGATCTAGAGAGCTAATTCGAGTGTTAATTTTGTAATAATTGATATTTATTTTGGTGTTTTTAAGTATTGTTATTTTTCTGTTGGACGCTATCATTCATGTCGGTATATCAATTTTATATTTTTTATATTTTTATTTTTTAAATTGTGGGTTGTTAGATATTATGATATTATATGTTGTTTGACTTCCTATCATTATTTTTTATTCTTTAATGTATCGTGTGTGGAAAATGAAATAATTTATCTCAAACAAGTTTCAATAAATTAGAGGGTATGACCAATAGATCTAGAGGGTTGATTCAAAGTGTTAATTTTGCAATAATTGATATTGTTTTCGGTGTTTTTAAGCATCGTTGTTTTTCCGTTAAAAGGTATCATTTATGTTAGTATATCAATATTATTTTATTAATTTTTTTAAAAAAATTATGGGTTGTTAGATATCATGATAGTATATGTTGTTTAACTTCCTGTCATTATTTTTTATTCTTTAGTGTGCCGTGTGTGGAAAATGAAATATTGCCTAACTTTATTTTTTAAAACGAACAAGGGCGTTGCGTTTAAACTTTAAAAAAACGACCAGTTGCTTTGTCACGGGGGACTAAGTTTCTAAATTTCCTCTTCTAGGAAGCCCCAAATAATTTATTAATATTCAATCAATTAAAGTTTCTCCATTTGACGTATGGTGCATAATCAACCTATAAATGTAGCTACTAGCATCGTCCCATTATTGCGTCTGTCCCCATAAACCTGCCCGCCTCTCTGTCTAACCTATGTTTGATAGGTCGGACCTTAGATTGTAGGATGGAAAATATAGATTCACTAGAAACAACAATTTTTTTGCCTTGGAAAAAAAAAAGAAGAAGAACAAATCAAAAGCAACTTTCTTTTTTGTTCATGAAACTTGATTTTTCATCTCTAAAATCAAAAGCAGTGGATTGTTGAAGGATAAATCGCCGGGATATCAGTTAGAACAAGTAGAATATTTCCCGTGTAACGGAAAAAGAATATCACGAAGAGTGAATTGTTTAAACAGTATATATGAACCGTGTGCCGACAATATCTATATATATGTTTGATCCATGTCTGAATTCGACATATTTGTGAACTCTACGTGAGGTACATGTGCAATACTCGTTGGCAGAGCAATGAATTTTATTGTCAGGGAGATGATTGACGTATTGAGAGAATTTTACAAACACATTAAATAAAATTTAGGGCAAAGGATATACTGGTCCACATGAAAACAATTCTTAAATGGATCCATTAGCCATCAAATACGTAATCAACCTCGTCATTAAAATCTAAGACAAAACTATATTGTCAGGGACAACCAGGTCCACGATTTTTATTTTTTTTAAAGGAAATGGTCAATTGGGTAATGCCCAATAAATATATACGAGACCCAATTGGGAAAATAGTTGTTTGGGGATACAATTAAGAATAAGTGATAGTTGGGAGATAAATATGTCCTCTTGCGCAATCTAAATGGTTTTATACTATATTTTCTATAAGGTGCGAATTGCGGAAGAAGTGCTTCTGTAGTTTGAACCTTGTCAGGCAAAGAAACTGCATTGGCCTGAGTTGGGAAAGAAAGAAGAAACTTTTTCTTTCGCTCGAAGTAAGTGTGTGAGACGGCATGGGAATATGCAGAACTATTTCTTCCTAGGGGTCAAAAAATCATTTTTAATTTCTTAAAGCATATCTATTTATAGGAGGAGATTAGGTGCTGCTAATCATTCTTTAATTCATACATCTAACTCCATTATTGATTGCCACGTTAGGACTGTGTGTGTAGATATTCTTATTTAAAACTTAAAGGTTAGTCATCAATAATTGTGTCATGTGTTTTTTCGGCACTCACATTATTGTTTCATAATTAATCAGAAGGGGTTAATTAACGAAGCATTGTACATTCAAAATGGATCCTCTAAAACAGTAAAATGACGAGGATGATGCTTGACAGGCCTTGTGTGGCAATATTGTTTACCAATACGAAATGACCACCACCACCCAAGTTGCCTTGAAAAGGTTTCAAAAACCCTCCAATTATTGTTTTTTCAGCATGGTGGGATGCAATTTGTTTTTTCTTTAATTATTATTATTATTTTTTTTGAATCTGAAAAGGTAAAGAAACAGTGAAGAGTGTTGTTCCATATCTAGCAACAATGAAAGAGTTACAAAAATTACACTTTACCATTCATGTAACTGTAGTATACTCCAAAATTAAGTATTATCGGTTGCTATTGTAACGTATCCTTATTAGATTTATGTAATAATTTTTCATAAGATATTACTTGTATAAATTGAAAACAAACGTTAATTCATATCAAATTTCGGCCCCATAATTCATGCTATCTATTTTAGTAGTTACGTGAAATAAAAAACAGTTCTTCAAAAGGTTCAAGTTGTATTTAATTAAAACAAAATGGAAAAGTCATTGTATTTAAGAGGTTAAGATGTTATTAATGGCAAAATTTAGATGGTAGCTAACTAAGTCAATAAGGAAAAAAAGCATGCCTCGAAAGGGCAGCTTTTACTTTAATTTGAGACTGCCGATGACGATGGCTATACGAAATGTATTCACCGTCAATTTGGTAACAACGCGGCTAAACTAAATTTAACCAAGATGAGAGAGTGATCAAGCAAAGCTTTAGGCCAAGTCAAAGAAACAGAAGTGGCAAATACACGTGGAATATAGTCCTAGCCTAGAAACTTGAGTAGTACCCAGGCTGAGGTCAACACTGTTGTAACGTGAGCCTAGCTAGAATATATGCTTTTGCTTGTTAAAGAAGCATGGAATGACAAATGAGGGAGAAGGGGAGGTGGCCGGGTGTTTTTAAAAGTCAAAAAAGGTTATAACAAAATTAAAAGGAAATCTAGTCAATAAAAGGAGTTTTAAAAAGTTCATCCATGAAACACAAATTGGAGTCAAGAAATCAAAAACACAAAGTCAACCTTTACTTACATTAAACAGGGATTTGCTAGGTGTACTTCACCCACCCAAAAAGTCTTAGATTCTTGAATCCCCAATAAATTTAAAGAAACAAATTATTAATAAAATAAAAAAGAAATGATTTTATTAATCCCCCATTTTCTCTCTATGATTCTCTCTCCTGCTCAAGTACTTGCTCTCCTATATATCTTTAGCAAGCATAAACGCACTCCTCACTCCTCACACCTACTTCTTCCTAGTCTCTCCATCTCTCAAAATATTCCTTTATCAACTCTTCTCTTCTGTATCTTCCAAGTGCTACTCTTCCTTAATTTTATTTTCTTTATCTTGTTTCTCTATACATATATAATTGCAGAAATGGTAGTGGCATCTCCAACTCGAATTCACGGTGAAAAACTCCTGGCCATTGAGCTTCCTGTAATAGACCTCTCAGGTGAGAGATCAATGGTGTCCAATCTCATTGTCAAAGCTTGTGAAGATTATGGTTTCTTCAAGGTAAAAAACCATGGTGTTCCTCATGACATCATTGCCAAAATGGAAAAAGAAAGTTTCAACTTCTTTGCCAAACCATTCGATGAAAAGCAAAAGTCAGGGCTTGCTAATCCCTTTGGTTATGGCTGCAAAAATATTGGCTTCAATGGTGATATGGGAGAGGTTGAATATCTACTTCTTAATACCAATCCTCTCTCCATTGCTGAAAGATCCAAAACCATCTCCAATGATCCTACAAAATTCAGGCAAGTGCTTACACCTTTTATATTGCTTAGAACTTTTCATTATTCTAAATAGACATTTTACACCATCACATTTAGTTAAGTAGAATTGATTTGCCTTTTTCTTTTTCATGGAATTGCTTTTGCAGTGTTAGTTTCCTTTATGCATTTATTTGTTCGTTTAAGAATCACCGACCTCTTGAAAGTGCAAGAGAGGTTGTGTTTTGGTTTTGAGTGCAGCCTTGAGAACCTAAGATAAAACATGTTTTAGCATAGCTATTGGTGAGGAAAGTTAACACCAAAATGCTGCAAAACCTATAAATGATGAGAAGACCACCACCACCACTAGTTCTATTTTTTTTTAAAAAAATCTCAATTAGAGCGTTTTTCCAATTTTGAACAATGATGCCACCATGCAAGTTGCTAATTCAATCTGCTAATTGTTTCCATGTAAACATGGTGCTAGCCCCTAGCTGGGAACTTTCCTGAAATTGAGTTTTATCTTTTAAACCCATAGTATTCAAGTGCACATGTTCATGCCTAAAAATGGAAAATCTTCTCTAATTTGCTTGGGGAATCTTTCTTAATGATTTTCAGGGTGAAAGAAGTTGGTGTTTTTTTTTATATATATTTTATGTGACCAGAATACTCATACATGTTATTCTAGGAGTTTTCTTAATCACGTCGTAATGTGTGGCATGTAAGGAACATGAAAATAAAGAACTGGCTTTCCCTATCTAGAACACTAGCTACGAAATATGTGCTAGCTAGCTAGCTATATGATTATCATCAATCATCATCCAGTGATAAATATGACTATTAATCTTCAGGTAATTATGACAAATTTATAAAAATAGTAAATTACTTTAATACTACTAAAATATCATTAAAAATCATCGATCGTTCATAAATTAATATATAGCCTCTCTTTTGAAGTTAAAACTTTTTTGTTAGAAGTAATGAATCAGTAAAGACATTTTAGATATAAAATCTGTAATGTTTTTCAAATGTAAAAGAGTGTTTTTTGAAAAATTTTAATAGTTTGAGCAGTCATTTCAATTTCATAATATGTAAAGAGTTATTGAAATTTATCCTTAAAAAAAATAATGCAGGCAATTAAGAAGAGCTATTAATTTCAATTTCATCAAATTTTAAATAAATAAAAAAAGAAAAGGACCAACACACGTGATCGTTGTTAAATTCATTTTAAAATACCAAATCACATGGAAATATGGAAATATATGTCCTCCTGGAAGGTGGGATAACATGTCAGAACTTCTTTTGCTTGAAGGTTGAAACATAGTTGCCTTGGTCCTTGTCAACATTCTCTATTAGTGCTTGGAAGACAATTTTTTCAAACAAAAGAAGTTTTATGTATTGACATATTAGGGTTAATTTACTGGTTAATGTTAAAGCTTAAAATGTTCTGTAATATCAAAAAGGTTGTGGGTTGGTTTAATAATCAGTCAATAGTTTCTTTTTATCGGAAGGATAAACAAGGATTTACTTCCAAGTTCTAACCTCAAATATTCATCTTATCTTATCTCAAAGGTAAGTGCGCAGACGTAAAATTTACACAGTGGGATTAAGCTTTTCTTTTTTTCGATTACAACCACAATTAGTCCAAAAATTCTGAAAAGAAAATGAAGATAAGTTACTATTTGCATGAAAAGATTGGAGAATCAAATGGACAAGTCAGAGAGATGCATCAAAGATGGTCCTATCAAATCGAAAGAAAAATAAAATAAAATAAACTAGTAAGCCCAAGATAGAGAAGGGCGTTGGTGACTTCTTTTTGCCAAATAATGCCGCACAGAAATTTAATAAACCGAAACTGGGGAAAGCAAAGGAGAAGCAGAGTAGCAAGTCCAGTGGCCTTGTGTAAATGTGCGACTGTAATCTGTTGTGGCTTCATCTTTTTTCATTTTTATATTTTTAGTCCCTACTAGACTGTTAAATTCACTGACGATAAGGTTGTTTTCTCTATTGTATTTCTGTGACACAGCTCTGCTGTGAGTGGTTACATAGAAGCAGTTAGGGAGCTGGCATGTGAGCTATTAGATCTGATGGCAGAGGGATTGTGGGTCCCGGATAGATCCGTGTTTAGTAGGCTAATCAGAGATGTTGATAGTGACTCAATGATCAGGTTAAATCACTACCCACCTATGCCTATACTCTGCAAGGATAAGGACTCGTCATCACCTTGTAACCAAAACAAGGTAGGGTTCGGAGAACATTCTGACCCTCAGATCTTGACCATCCTAAGATCCAACGATGTGGGTGGCCTTCAGATTTCCTTAAATGATGGTGCGTGGGTCCCAGTAACACCTGACTCCACTGCCTTCTGTGTTAATGTGGGTGACTTGCTACAGGTTGGTCTACTGTTTTCTCCCTCCCCCTCTCTCTCTCTCTCTCTCTCTCTCTTATCTTGAAATCATCATCGTGTGTGAAAAAGTTGAATGGATTTGATGGAAGCTACTGCTAATATAGCTAAGCTAGCTTGCCAGTAGCCAGGCTCTGGATTGGGTTCTTGATGTCAATGGGACCCAAAAACAACATCAGTTTTTATCCAATAAGAACATCACGGGAATGAGTAATTGAATGACTAACTAGATTCAGAACAATTGGAACTGAAATGTACCTGGCCCTTGGTTGGCCAGTCTTTTATGGTGTGTATGCATGCTGACTTGAAATTATTGAGGAGATAATTCTCTGACTTCACGATTTCTAAGATATTTTTGTAATATCGATTTTCTTGACTCTCTTTACCGGCGAAAATGAAATTTTTTTCTAATGATGATGACAAAGATTTGTTACTAAGGTCTTCACAATACCACGTTTTCTTGTGGAAATTTTTATGTTCTAGAACTGAATGATGGTTATTGTCAAAATCAAAGATCGAAAACGACTCTGTACCTATTGGAACTTGTAAGTGTGCACCTTGATGGGAAGTACTGTGGCTAGTTTTCATTGACTTCTACATGACCCTCTAGCCAGTGTGCCATTATTCAAGCACGAAAACCTAATTCTGTTCGATCTTCCTAAATGATGCAGGCAATGACAAATGGGAGATTTGTAAGCGTGAGGCATAAAGCCCTAACCAACTCATACGAGTCTAGAATGTCAATGGCCTATTTTGCTGCACCACCACTTAATGCCAGGATAGCTGTTCCACCAGAAATGGTCACACCCATCAAGCCTGCCTTGTACAAGCCTTTCACCTGGGCTGAATTCAAGAAAGCTGCTTATGCACTGCGACTTGGAGATAGTCGCCTTGGTCTATTCAGGATGGAAGGAGAAGAGCAAGTTGCTTGATGAGTTTTTGATTTACGGACTATGAATGTTTAAACATCTAAGTTTAGTGTCTTTCTGTACCCCTGAAGGGGAATTTTGCTGTTGGATATCCTTGCCACTGCTACTGCTTAGAGGAGGATATCCGGTGAGAGACTTGTAGCTTGGGTATGGGTAAATGGCATGTATCACTGTAGTTTAGTCATTGGTGTACAATTTCCCTTTCTGAATCATATTTTCTAGTGGCCAATGGGTAGCTAGCTCTATCATGCATCGTTTTGAAATGATAAGCGAAACAAGAATAGTGAAAGTCCTACTAGGATAAGATGTCAAATGAAGCCAAATAAGATGATATAAATTTGAATCTGGAAAATCCATCTTTTTGTAGGCACAAAGTAGAATCAAAGAAGCCGTATAAATGTCGAGTCTTTGTGTATTGTCTTTGTCTAGCGCGCACAAACACACACGAGTCCGACTTCCAGAAAAAGGGCATCGGTAAAAGGTCAACAACAATGCTGGACGGTTATCGTATATGGGGAAGAGAAGCTCATAAATGTAACGTCAAGAGTTCATAGAAATTCATGTACAGAACCATCCACATTATTACAAATTGGGTAGAGGCTCTCAAAAAATTGAGCCATCTAATTCAAATCAGTCACGTACTTCAATGAGAAGTACAGCAATTAGTACTTCAGAGTACTTTGTCCGTTATCATGCAACATGAAGTCATCCTCGAAAATACTTTGTCCGTTATCATATCACATGAAGTCACCCTCGAAAATATTGATTTAGGGCTGCAAATGATCTTTTACGTTATTGTTTTACTACGCTATATAACTACTGAGTCAGGAAATACCAAATCAGGCACGATTTTGAGATCTTGCAGCAGAGCGCGAACACTTCTTCCGGCCAGTTCTGCTTAGTGCACAAACACATATCTCCAGAAGCTCATAATCCTCCTCCCAGAACAACAAGGATGCCTTCTCTGGGTTCTCTAAAAGCATCTTTGACGTTAGGAAACCAGAGATGGTCCATGTCTGAAAAAGCCTGGATTGTTTGCCTATAAACCTTCCACTGCGCGTGTCATAGTATTCAGGCCACTGATCTACTGATAACCTCTTCTCTGCCAAAGCAACAGCCTTCTGTGCTAATTCTGGTTTCCCCATCTTGATACAAGCCAATGTGAACTGGAATAGAAAGCAAAAATTGTATCACGGAACACATTTTCATGACTGCATACCATCAAATATAGGCCAACACTCAAAAATAAAATTCAAGTATCTTGGTTTTGAGTCTGAAAAATAATACCTGCCACAGCAGTGTTGGCCAAGATCCACTATTGTGATATGACCATGGGCTGCAACAAATTAGACAGGCTTAGTGGCTCAATAATTACATTAACCAAAACCCCTATGCAACTAAACCAATCTATATAAAGGACATAGAATATAATAGGAGCCTCACGTATTCTTTGGGTCACTGCCAGTAATTATACGCCATTCTTCAGATTCCAAAGCTGGGTAACAAATCTTAAGAGGCATATGGCCCATGAGATCATCCCACTTGGCTTCAATCAAATTCAGGATACCCTCATTTTGTTTTGAGGTTCCCAAAGAAGAAATGATGGCCCAAAGGTTACCGAGAGTAAAGAACCTAAAATCCATGTGAGCAGGCTGTACATTGCCAATGAGGTAACCGCCTTCCTCAGGAATCCAATCCACTAGCCATGAAGGAATTTGATCTGGATATATGTTGAACTTGTTGACTGCATCTGTAGAGTATTCTTCAGTGTTGTAACGGTAGATCTCATTAATCTTCCTCATGTCCACCCAATAATACTCTCTGATATGAAATGAGAGTGCACTGAGTCGATTATTTATTGCAGCCACCAAATTCTTGGTTCCATCATTGACTATGAGCATCTCACGAGCACACCTTAAAGCAGAATAGAACAAGGCCTGGAAAATCATACCAGTTAAGTAAATGGCAAACCAGTGACAAACATAAGCATGCTGGTGAAAAGGCTAAGAAGCAATGACACAAAAAAAAAAAAAAAACGCACAGAGAGAGAAGGAATGAGCAGAAAGCTTAAGAAACTCTTTTTTCCGCAACATTTAAGTGCTTTGCAGAATTTTCAACTTAAGTATCATGACAAAACCGCAATAAAAAATCAAGTCATAGCCAGAACAAACAATTCCTCCAACTAATGTACTTCTGCAGCTTTAAGCACATCAAATGACGGGTATATATTTTATAAATTTATAATAGTTGCATGCATTCTAGAATATCAGGTCCTCGGTCAATGTGGTCAGGTATCAACCTTACGCAACTTCAGAACATCTTCATAATTGACAACATTAATTTTCCAAGTGCAATGTAAGCGAAACAAAATTGAAAGCTGCACTGAAAATATTCAACTTACTTGGATTTCAAGTGGGTGTCCGTGGATACCCATCCTTCTGTCAATCATGCAGGAACCATCTGTCACTAACAGCGTAGGAAACATATCAAACCCATCTGATAAACACAAATTTAGTACGAGCCTTATTCCTGTCTGAACATCAATCCTCTCTTGCAATGCATAGTCACCTGTGATCTTTCCATAAGCTCTCAACAAAATTATCCACCACAGCCCTGCCAGTGTTATGAATATGTTTCAGATTTCAATAATTACACAAACATAGAAACGTCGGTGGTAACAAACTTAAGGAACAACTGGATAAACATACAAGACATGAAGAAACTGAGCACCAAGGATAAGATTTTGGACAAATACTCATTCATTGAATGTAGAAAGACCATTTATCATAAGCAATACTGAAAACAAAACTAAGAATTGTCTTACCAGAATCAACTGGGGCAACACGCCCAATGGCTGATTCACCAAAATCAGGATCCAAAACCTCCTCAAGACCTCCATCACTTCCATCAAGAGGTACTGTTTTAACTTTAAAACTTGCTGGCATTAACCCTTGCCCAGGACTGTAACAGTCCACTGTCTTCTCCCAGCTCTAACATCCACGAGAGAAAAGTTTTAGTTTAAATTGATTTTTGAAAATGCTCTCTCTCTCTCTCTCTCTCTCTCTCTCTCACACACACACACACACACACACACAAAAAGCAATATCTTTTCTTTGTTTTTTTTTTTTTCCCGGTAAACATAAAAAGCAAAATGTAATGGCCAGTTTTGGTGCAAATTACAATTATGGATGCCTCATCAATTTGCCGCCCAAGAATAACATACATTAGCACAGCATTCCCTAGTTAAAGGTCTAAGCTATTATCCCTTCTTATTTTTTGAGATGAAAAGCATCCATGGAGTTGGCAATATTTATCCTCACAACCTATTGCCCATATATTTGGTTTCTGCATAAGGTTTCTTAATCAATCAGCCCGTGATAAGAGGCAGAAGTCATTAACTTGGAAATCACTATACACAAAAGACAGTAGTTACTAACATGGAGAGCACTACGAAAAGTGTGAATCAACGTGACCATTACAGAAGCGTTATGTTGTAAAAGAACACCAAATGTATGCCAAAGCAACAGAAATCCATTTCACATGTAAACACAGTTGCCACTTATTAAGCAGCACGACATCAAAAGGTAACTAAATTGCGATCACAAACAAAAAAAAAATTCACCTACACCGCACACTACATGCGCAAAAAATAAGTACTGTAATGCTTAGCTTAATATACCTGCAACTGCAAAGTGTGAAGAAGAAAATTCTTCACAATCTCCTCTTCTCCATTAAGCAAAAAAGCAAGTGCAGATGGAACAAAATCACGAATGAAGACTTGGTCATAATTCAATGGTTGGTTGTCAGCAGGATCATTAGCTGCAACAGTCCCCACTGGATTCCCACAGTAATTCACAACGGCACCTCGAAGCAACTGCCATGCTTCCTTCTCAATCTCAGACACCTCTCTCTCAACAACCTTAGGAGTGGTCTCATTCAAACCATTGAAGAAGTCTATATTGACACTGGATCTATTAATCTCTACCCTATTACTAGAGTTTTCCTCTTCTTCTTCTTTAGCTAAATCATTTTCTGTTTCAGTTTCTATCTTTTCTATCACTAAAGGCTTCACATTCAACCCTCCTTGAATGTAAATCCTCTCGAATCCTTTCTCATTAACATGACCCTCTATCGAGGTCGAATGATTCCTAATGTCAGATGCTACTTTGGGAATTACTAAAACACCCCTTAAACTACTACCCCTATCAACAGGAAAGGTCGAACTAAAACCTCTAGCTTGACCCCAATTCGAATCGCAGACATTAAAACCTCTACGATCCGGACTAACTGTACATTTATGAGTATAACCCATATCTTGTGGCCTACTACTGTTATTACAGCAGCGGGATTCATGATCATGGATCGATTTCTTCGACAAATTGGTATGAATGATCGAATTACTATTAAATCTCGGGAGAGAGAGCCCAAAAATTGAACAACTTCTGTAAGTGATTAAGATTCTACAACAGGGTTTCATTGTTGAGATACCAATACAGCTACTAGTATTCATTTTTTTCTTCTTTTTTCTTGTTCTGTATATAAGTGAACAATTTATATAGACAGAGTGTAACTAAGCCTCTGTTTAGCTTGGAAAAAATGAAAAACAGAGTATGTACTATACAATTAATGAATCTAAAAGAATACGAAATGAAATCTAGAAAAAAGAAATTGAAATTTGAAAAGTTTGGCACTTACAGTTGGAAGAAACGTTGAAGAAAAGCTGCGAGAGAGAGGTGCTAAGATGAATAGATTTTTGCAAGATTTATATAGAGGAGGAGGGAAGGAAAGTTCCTCCTTCCCTGAAACAGAGAGTGTGGGTCCGACAAGAATGTTATTACAACACTATCCCTGCACGTGCTTCTGAATTTTCACTGTGAATAAGAACATGGATTGGGTTTGGAAATGACATTACAGCAATACCCTTCACATTTTTTAAGAACGTCTTGTGAGCGGTCCTGCTTGTGGTAAAACTAGGAGAATCCTATTATTAATTTTATTTTGATATGTGAAGGCTTGCTTAAAAGTACATTATGGTTGAAAGAAAAAGACATGTAATTTGTTACATTATGGTTGAAAGAAAAAAAAACATGTAATTTGTTAAATAGTTTTTAGCATAATAACGATCACGTTTTTCATCAAAATATTATCAATCCATAAATGTGATAACGTAACATTGTTAATATAAAATAAAAACGTTCATCTTTTTTAATTAAATTTATTTTGTTTTGTTTTTATAATCAATTTTATCATCTAAAAAATTGAAATTATAAATTCTATTATATTTTTTTAATGAAGTTATTATATTGAAAAACATTTATAATTATAATCATGAGCATTCATAAAAGAATATGAAAATTATATTGGATTAATTTCATAGATTTCAAGAACGAAAATGAATTAAACCTTTTGTGATATAATATTCGGATAAAAAATATTTTAATAGTTCCAGCATATTAATAAGTTATTTCGAAATAAGTTGAAAATGATGAAATTAATTATGTAAAAGAATGTAATTTATCTGAATTTTCAGCCTTTTTTGTAAAAAAGAATTGGATGAGTACGGGGCAACTTAGGTAGTGCAAGAAAAAAGAGGCGTGCTAAAATTACACCAATGAAATATTAGAGTTTGGATAAACGGTAAGAAATGTCTTACGGATTCTGCGTTTGACGAAGGGACCACAAATGTCGGTTCTGTACGCAATAAAGAAAACGTGTAGAAATCAAGAAACGTCAGGTTCTATCATTTTTTTAATACGAAAAAATGTATTTAAAAAAAAAAAGTTGCAACACAAGAGAGATTTTGGCGGGGAGAAGGATCGTTTTGTAGCTAAAATTTTTCTGAAGAAAAGAACATAGCGATATTTTTAAGTTGGATATTTTGCGTTAAAAATATTTTGGACTTTTAATTGTTTAGCCGAATTTGCTTGTATGGCATTCTCAAGTATATGCGGCTAACATTTTATTCTGCGCAAAACCAAATGATTTACGGAATCTCCAAACTAAAATTCTAGAAAAGTGGCTGCAAATATGGAAAAGTAAGAGTAAAATAATGAAGAGAAAAAAATCATATTAGAGGGTGTAAACTATGTATTTGCTATCAAATAATTCTGAATTTGAAGGGAAAATTAAGCATTTCCTAAAATCA